CAAGACTGATGAAGAGCTCCTGCACCTGGGACTCGGCATCGCGAGTCTCGAACTTGCGCCAACCTCCACCGTCGGGCAACTTGAGGGCCTTATGCGCGTGGACAACGTGCTTCGAAGCCAGCCCAGCCGCGCCTTTGAAAGCGACCACAAATCGCCGAGAAGGGATTCACCCACGATCTGCCACTGGTCATCCTTGAAGCCAGCGGCCTCCAGCCATGGAAGAACAGCCTCTTTGACACCGGAAGAAGAGATCGCAGCCTTCGCGGAGGCCACGAAGCAGGTGCGACTGGGCTCCCGCGCGAAGCCCGCGACGTCGGCATAGTCCGCCTGCGGAGCGGCCTGCCCACAGATGTGGAGAGTGTGCTTGAGACGATCCATTTCAGCAGCCATTTTGATATGAGCCTGCTCCAGCGACGTTTGCATCCGGCAATACATCTACATGTGAGACGTCCGCCTGGGCGACCTGGGCACGTGAAAACAAGCGTTTCGCTCGAGACGTTGTCAACACATCCTCATTCTAGACATCCGCATGGGCGACCTGGACACGTGCAACCAAACGTCTCGCCCGAGACATCCTCAACACATCTTCACGTTCGACACCCGCCCGGGCGACCTGGACACGTCGCTCGCACAAACGGGCGCCACAAGGGTCTCGAGAGAGCCTACAGCGCACGAGATGCATCGACGAGCGCCATCGCTGCCCGCCGAATCTGGGACAGATACGTGCTCATCTCAACCTCCGCAGGGCGAGGCCGAACACGCATGGAATCATAACAGTGAAAAGCAAGAACCATCGACTCCACTTGCTCGATGGTCGGCGCCCCATCCAGCCCGAGTCTGGACGCGACGCTCTGCGGAGCGCCCATTAGACTAGCGACACTCCTCGACCAAAGAATAGGGCAACGAAGGTCGTGAGCGAAGGTGTCGCGCTGCTGCTCGCACCCGCACTCGAAAAGACAGTCGCTCACCCCTGCATGGACGCGCAGCCTCGCGGAGGTGAGCCAACCTCCACAAATCGTCTTTACAACCGCCGACTGCCGCGCGGGAGAAAGGGGCCCCAGCAAGGCTCTAAGCGGGGGCCAGGGGCCCCTGGGGCGTGGGACCTGCCACGTCTGGAGCCGCCTCTCGATGGTGAGATGGAGAGAATCAGGAAAAAGAGCAGCACGGAGGGAGGAGGTAAGAACACGCTGACGCTTGAATCGAGATTGACTGGCGACGGCGGCGGCGCGGGCCTCATTCACTTTTTGCCGAGCCTGCGTCGCAGGCCCGTGCAGCACACTGTCCACTGTCTGCGCCCCAGGCGGCGGGCGGCGGTCGAAGTCGTGGGCGGCCCTGTCCAGGTGCTGAACCGTGGGCCGCAGCTTCCAAAACGGCGGGGATAGCCAGCCACGACCAATGTCGAACAACGAAGCGTGGGAGCACACCTCTTCTTGCAACCATTCAATGAGGAAACGCAAGTTGGTCACCGTGTCCTCCGCCGGCCTCATGAGAGTAGCGGCACCACGAGGCAGCGTAGACATGGGGCGGATGTGAGACCAGCTGGCGAGTGAAAAGATGTCGGCACGTGAAAGACACTGCGGTGGCAGATGCCACACCTTGCGCAGCGCCCAAGACTCTCGTGCCAACAGACCCTTCGGCGTAGGATGCAGTTGCTGCAAATATCCCATGACTGTCAGCACATACTTGTTGTAAATGTCAGTGGTCGTGGGCACAGGAGCGCCTGACTTGGCGAGCATCAGCACACGAAGCGACCACTTAGCCGCCACCTTGCGCCATATACTGTGCTCGTCTGCCGCGGGGCCCACCTGCACACCCAAGTCTTCCCCAGAGCCAACGATCTTCGTGGATGCCCATTGCGGAGCATGCTCACAGAGCCATTGCCGCATCTCCTTTTCCAGCACCGTAGACAATTCCCCCTCCAGTGGCATGATGACGCACTTTTGAAATTTGAGTCTGGGGCCCCCGAGCACATCCGCAGCACGGAATACACGAAACAGATCCTTTAGGAGGGCACGGTTTTGCAGCGTCGCCCCAACACCGTCGGCGCACACGCCGACCGCCGATCGGACACATGAGCGAAGTAGAACCTGCATCGCCTTCACGAAAGAGTTCATCGCGATGGCCCAGAGCGCCCCACTTGATAGGCACCCCTGAGCCAATCCACATGAGATACACAAGAAGTGCTGCTGTAGGCCAGAAACCTGAACGCATGCGGTCGGCAACCAGCACAGCGAGGCGAGCAGCGCGAAGACGCCGTCCTCGACCCCCGCATGCGCGAGCGACTTGAGAAGCCAGTCATTCTCCGGGGGCGGGAAGGCGCCCCCAAAGTCGTGCAACACCATAACAGGGTGCTCGTCTCTGGACTGGAAACCGCACGCCCTTGCAACTGCATCCAACAAAGTGGTAGTGTTAAGAAAGTTTCTGCCAACCAGGAAGCCCTTTTGAGCCTCAGGGGAAGTTGCCGCCGCCGCCCGCTTGAGTTTCATATTGATAGCACCCGCCACAAGCTTACAATCCGATTTTTTCCGCGCCAACGCTCTCGTAGTAGATGCCGACCTGAAGGCCCCAGCCGCGTCGTCCGAGCCCCCCCCCCTTCGGTAAGAAAACCATTAGATGCTCATGCCAATCCGTCGGCGGCGGTAGACCAGCGGCAAGCTCGAGGGCGATTCCCTCCAGCGACTGAAAGCCCAACGGCGACCTGCGCCACGCCTCATACGGTAACCCATCTGGCCCAGGAGCCGACGGCCGAGCACGACGAGCCGCCTCCATAAGCTGAGTAGCCGCCGGAGGGAGCACCTCGGAGAAATCAAACTGGGTGCCGAACTTCTCGAGATGCTTATCCGAGAGCTGCTCCCAGTTGGAGCACCTCGGCTTATGCTGAAAAACAGGACCCCAGTGGCGGCGCAGCTCACTGATCATGTCACTCTGAGAGTCCACCACATCACCGTCGCCAGGGAGACGGATGCCTTGAAGCTTGAGCGCCCGAGCAAAGGGAGCCCACAGCGATGCCCTCCTGCGCAGCGCACGACGCTGAGCATTAATGAATGAGATGGAAGCAGCGTCGGGTTTGGCCCGAGCCTCACGCTGAGCCAGGGTCGCCTCCCGCTCCTCTGAGAAAGCCTGCTGCTCGAGAGTGAACGCACGCGCAAATGCGATCGTGCCACGTAGCTCTACTAGGCCCCCTTCCACGTGCGCATGTTCACGAGCAAGAGACGACGAGGGCAGTAGTCGCCTCGCCAGCCGCACGTCATCTCTGAACACCGCCCGAGCCACAGAGCGAAAGACCATGAGTCTCGCTTCCGTCGATTCAGGGTTGCGAACCAAACGAGAACGCACCATCCTCGCAGACTCCTTCATGATATGTTTAGTGGCCCTCCGCTTGGACGCAGCCGCGAGAGATTGCCAGTCGACTTCCGACGCCATATTCTTGATGAACCGAGCATAGTCGGGATCCTGGACGATAAAAGAAGAAATACGCTGAGTGTCTGGATGCGCCGCTGGCCGCGGCGCAAGAGAAAGCACAACAGGGGAATGATCGCCAATGCCCTTTTCAAAAAGAAACTCAGGAAGATCAGGAGTGGAGACCGACGCCGTCCATCGAATAGCTTCCCAACTCTGAGACGACAAAAAGACACGGTCAATCTGCGTCAGCTTCGGCTGTTGCCCCTCCTGCGCGACATAGCGGGTGGGCATCTCATAGTCCACCTCGAGGAGCAGAGCGAAGATACGTTTCCAAACAGCTCCAGCCACATGTGGTGCAACGTCCGAGACAGGCCTACGACGGTCGATCTCAGGAGCACGGATACATGGGCAGAGCAGCGTAGATATTGAAGTCCCCCAAGAATATGATCGAGATCCTATCGGGCGCCATGTTGGCGAGCGCCGCGTCGCGAGCGACCCGTTGCCGAAGCGACTGCACCTGCTGTCTCGATATATTATAAGTGTGAACATTGTAGATGACTGTAGACGCCGATGGACAGGTGTTGTGACTGACGCTGGAAATGCGAAGCCTCTGAATTCTTCCGGGCACCAGCTCCTCGTGCCAGAACTCTGCCCGCTGATGAACACCACTCTGAGAACGTGGTATGATAATAGCCACCTCGCCAGTGTTTCGCTGCGCACCGAAAGAAGAGAAATCCAGGTGTGGGATGTGGAGCTTGAACAAGTCCTGCTGAAGCTCCAACTCCGCGGCGTGGACCTCTTGCAGCGCCATGATCGTTCCCTTGGAGAGAAACTGGGACAAGTACTTCATGTTGTGCTGCCGCATGCGCAGGTCGCGGTGCAACAATGCTCGAGCGTTCCACGTCGCAAACGACAGCGGGGCCTTCAGCTCACTAGGCGCCTTCGCCGGGACAAAGCGGCGGCTAAAGACTCCATGCAACGTTCTCTGCTTCCCCGAATAGGTTGTTGAAGGCAGCAACCATGGCATACCGCAGGGGTCAAGGCTCGAAACACAACTCCCTGGGAACGGTTGGCCCGCCATCGCCCTGGGAGGTTGGCGCTCTTGATGAGCTCGAAAAGCCTGTTGCACTGGATCTCGCGGCGGATTTGCTGCCCGTTCTTGTCAAGACTGATGAAGAGCTCCTGCACCTGGGACTCGGCATCGCGAGCCTCGAACTTACGCCAACCTCCACCGTCGGGCAACTCGAGGGCCTTATGCGCGTGGACGACGTGCTTCGAAGCCAGCCCAGGCGCGCCTTTGAAAGCGACTACATATCGCCGAGAAGGAGAGTCACCCACGACCTGCCACTGGTCATCCTTGAAGCCAGCGGCCTCCAGCCATGGAAGAACAGCCTCTTTGACACTGGAAGAAGAGATCGCAGCCTTCGCGGTGGCCGCGAAGCAGGTGCGACTGGGTTCCCGCGTGAAGCCCGCGACGTCGGCATAGTCCGACTGCGGAGCGGCCTGCTCGCAGATGTGGAGAGTGTGCTTGAGACGATCCATTTCAGCAGCCATTTTGATATGAGCCTGCTCCAGAGACGTTTGCCTCTGGTTGAGCTCCCGAAGACGAAGAGCAGTCTCCTCATGCTAGGCCTCCTGCTGCGCCGCGAACTTGCGCAGCCGAGAAGCCATTTTGTCCGCCAGCTGGGTCGCCAGCGCAGACGAGGAGTTGTTGACAGAGGACAGGAGATCGAGCTTAAGAACCGCCACCAAAGCTTCCACCTCGAATCTGCACACGAAAGCGTTGGGGTCGGGAGCGACTGGAGTAGCTGTGCCACCAGCGTTGTTGTCGGACTCCCCAAGTTTGTTCGCGGCATCCCACGGGTCGCGGGCCCGCAGAGGATCAATAAGACCTGCGGCCCCAAGACCATCCACCAGCACGTCGCCGTCGCAGCCGTCCTCGTCAAGGGTCTTGGTGCGCTTGCCCTCAGGGGTATCCGTGTGAGACCTCTCGCTGGCTGCGGGAGTGGCCCGTTGCGGGCGTCTGGACTTGCGACGGGCAACCCTTTGAGAACCAGCAGGTTGAGAAGCAGCAACAGAACTGGAAGCCATGACTGCGAGTACAGGAAGCACGGGAAACGAGACGTGACTGAAAAGTCGAGAGGCGGTGGCCTCAGTACAGTCGTTAGATATGAGATAGCGGCTACGCCCGTGAGAGGCGCACGAGAGATACCGTGGGCCGCGCCTCCCACGGACAAGTCTGAGAGAAACAATCCGGACTTGAGCCAAAATGGTACGGCGGGCGACCTTGACACGTGAAAACAAGCGTATCTCTCGAGACATTCTCAACACATCCTCATGCTAGGCATCCGCCTGGGCAACCTGGCCACGTGCAAACAAGCGTCTCGATCGAGACTTCCTCGACACATCCTCATGCTAGACATTCGCCGGGGCGACCTGGACACGTCGCTCGTACAAATAGGCGCCACAAGGGTCTCGAGAGAGCCTACAGCGCACGAGATGCATCGACGAGCGCCATCGCTGCCCGTCGAATCTGGGACAGATACGTGCTCATCTCAACCTCCGCAGGGCGAGACCGAGCACGCATGGAATTGTAACAATGAAAAGCAAGAACCATCGACTACACTTGCTCGATGGTCGGCGCCCCATCCAGCCCGAGTCTGGACGCGACGCTCTGCGGAGCGTCCACTAGACTAGCGACACTCCTCGACCAAAGAATAGGGCAACGAAGGTAGTGAGCGAAGGTGTCGCGCTGCTGCTCGCACCCGCACTCGAAAAGACAGTCGCTCACCCCTGTATGGACGTGCAGCCTCGCGGAGGTGAGCCAACCTCCACAAATCGTCTTTACAACCAAGCCTCTGGTTCGAGACATCCTCAACATATCCTCATGCTAGACATCTGCATGGGCAACCTGGAGGCGTGAAAACAAGCGTCTCGCTCGAGACATCCTCAAGACCTGGGCACGTGAAAACAAACATTTCACTTGAGAGATCCTCTGAATTCAGGTCCCCAGGAGAGGACACTCTATAACACAAAACAAGCGTTTCGCTCTAGACATCCTCAACAATTTCTGAAACACAAGCGTTTCGCTCGAGACAACCTGAAAATTTAATTCGCCGGCCCACCTCGACCTCGATATTTATCGCAAAAGAAATTAGCCGGCTCGCCTCAAGTCAAAACCGGGAATAAACAAACTAAAAGAGAACCCTGGGCCTAAGCCCTTTCCGCGAACAAGCGTTTCGCTCAAGACATCCTCAAACAAAAATTCGCCAGCCCAAAACGACCTCGTAATTTATCGCAAATAATTTCGCCTGCCCTAGAGCCGTCAGTTCTGCGGGTAAACAGCTGAAAGAGAACCCTGGGCCGGAGCCCTTTCCGGGAAAAAATCATGATCGACCCACGAACCCCGAAAGGAATATAGAAATGTAACGCATGGCAATGTTTTCAAAGACACCTGATAGGGTGACGGGCAAGTGCAATGCTGATTGTATCGATCTTGATGTACCGTGCCGAGGGCTGTGCTGTGCTGCACCGTGCTGAATTGCGATGTGCCATGCCGCGGTTGTGCTCTATAGCATCGTGGATCGAGTCTTCCTTTGCATCCGAGTCCTGACCGAACTGATCTGGATCTGAAGCTCGAGCTGCCTGAACACATAGTAGCTGCCCCAGAGCTAATTGACAGGGGGACATGCCAGGAGGACGCGCCGCGAAACGTCCCAAGGGACGCGCCAGGCGACGTGCCAAGGGACGTGCCATGGGGTCGCACCGTAGGACGTGCCAAGGGGACGCGCTACGGGACATCCTCAAAATTCCTGCGCGCGGGACGTGGCACGCGCGAGACATCCCCGGAATTCCTGCGAGCGGGACGTGAAAACAAACATTTCGCCTGAGACATCCTCTGAATTCTGGCCCCCCACGAGGCCCCCGCTCGAGACATCCCCCAAGTTTGCAAAACCAGCGTTTCGCTCGAGACATCCTCAACAAATTATGAACATGATCGACCCACGAACGCGGAAAGGAATATAGAAATGTAAGGCATAGCAACGTTTCAAAGACACCTGATTAGGCGACGGGCAAAACGCAATGCTGAAAGGATCGATCTTGATGTACCGTGCCGAGGGCTGTGCTGTGCAGCGCCGTGCTGAATTGCGATGTGCCATGCCGCGTTGTGGATCGAGTCCTCCTTTGCATCGGGGTCCTGACCGAACTGATATGAACTTAAGCTCGAGCTGCCTCAGCACATAGTAGCTGCCACAGAGCTAAGTGACAGGGGAACATGCCAGGAAGACGCGCCGCGGAACGTCCCAAGGGATGCGCCAGGCGACGTGCCAAGGGACGTGCCACGAAGACGCACCGCCGCGTCGGGAAGGCCGTCGGGTATGGCGTCGGGAACGACGTCGGGTAAAACGTCGGGTCCACCGTCGGGCCGGGCGTCGGGTCGGGCGTCGGGTCGGCCGTCGGGTACGGCGTCGGGAAAGCTGTCGGGAAGGCCGTCGGATACGGCGTCGGGAAGGCCGTCGGATACAGCGTCGGGAAGGCCGTCGGGTGTGGCGTCGGATCGGCCGTCGGGTACAAAGTCGGGAAGGCCGTAGGGTACGGCGTCGGGAAGGCCGTCGGGTATGGCGTCGGGAAGGCCGTTGGATACGGCGTCGGGAAGGCCGTCGGGTACGGCGTCGGGTCGGCTGTCGGGAAGGAAGTTGGGTACGGCGTCGGGAACGGCGTCGGGAAGGCCGTCGGGTATGGCGTCGGGAAGGCCGTCGGGTAAGACGTCGGGTCGGCCGTCGGGTCGGGCGTCGGTTCGGCCGTCGGAAAGGCCGTCGGGAAGGCCGTCGGATACAGCGTCGGGAAGGCCGTCGGGTGTGGCGTCGGATCGGCCGTCGGGTACAAAGTCGGGAAGGCCGTAGGATACGGCGTCGGGAAGGCCGTCGGGTATGGCGTCGGGAAGGCCGTAGGGTACGGCGTCGGGAAGGCCGTCGGGTATGGCGTCGGGAAGGCCGTTGGATACGGCGTCGGGAAGGCCGTTGGGCTGGGCGTCGGGTCGGCCGTCGGGAAGGCTGTCGGGTACGGTGTCGGGAAGGCTGTCGGGAAGGCCGTCGGGTAAGGCGTCGGAAACGCTGTTGGGAAGGCCGTCGGATATGGCGTCGGGCTGGCCGTGGGGCTGGGCGTGGGGCTCGCTGTGGGGCTGGGCGTGGGGCTGGTCGTGGGACTCGCCGTCGGGAAAGCTGTCGGGAAAGGCGTCGGGTAAAACGTCGGGTAAAGCGTCGGGTACAGCGTCGGGTAAGGCGTCGGGAAAGCCGTGGGGAAAAGCGTCGGGAAAAACGTCGGGTATGGCGTCGGGTATGGCGTCGGGAAAGGCGTCGGGAAAGCCGTCGGGCAAGGCGTCGGGTCTGGAGTCGGGCTCAACGTCGGGTCAGGCGTTGGAAAGGCTGTCGGGTAGGGCGTCGGGAAGGCTGTCGGGTAGGTCGTCGGGTAGGGCGTCGGGAAAGGCGTCGGGAAAGGCGTCGGGCTGGGCGTTGGCTCCACGAACTCATACGACGCGTGTATCCCAGAGAATTGCTCTGACCACAACGTCTGCCCGCCAAGGGACAAATTAAGTGAAGCTCCCTGGATTCTGTACGGATAAGTCATAAAGTTATCAACGACAACGCGCGAAATAGTGGTCGTCGGGTACGTGATCTTCAACGATCCACCCAGGTCAGAATGGCACCACGTTCCGAGATTTCCATCGATACAATGGGAAGCGGGACGATACCAATACTTGGTAGAAGACATCGACGCCCCAAGGGCTGCGACCGTGTTGCCAGCCGCATCGTACGCCGTGACTTCCAACAAACTCAGCCATTGGGACGGCCGCACCGTGATCAAGAGTTCCTGGACAGCCGTACAGATGCCATAGTTGCCGTTCTTGGACAAAGCGCTGTATTCAGTGCAGGTGCTGTAGTACAACACGCCAGCCGTTGCTGTAATAGAACTCGCGCCGTTCAGAAAGCAGCCCTGCGCCGGCCAACCACCATTGTCATGATAGCAACCGCTGTGGCTGTAAGTCGTGATATCCGCCCCATTGACGTGAACGCCATAGGAGCACTCGGTCTCGGTCATGACCCTGTACCCGGCAGGGCACTCCGTAGCGCCGATGTCCACGAGGACGCCGTCGAGCGGCGCAACCTGCGCCTGGGCAGTCGTGCGCGAGGCGCTGCGTTGGGAGATGTCGCGGTGGGCGCCATCGCCAACCTCTTGCATGGGAGAAGCGGGTCCCGAAGGAAACGGGCCCAGGACCCAGGGGCCCCAGGATCCGCGTCTGGTCCCGAGTCGCTGTCTGATCGCCCCGAGGCTCCAAAGAGTGCCGGGGGGGTCAAGGGAAGCGCAAAACGCGCGGACCTGTTTCCCTCAACGCCCGATTTCTTCCTGGCGACACCTGCACCACCAAGGCGGTCACGCTGGGGACGCCCTGGACGAGCAGCGCCACCGCATACGTGGTCCACTGTGCCTTCCCAGCGGCCGGCATCCCAGCGACCTGGCCGAGAGGACGTTATGCAAGTCCGGTATTTGCGTGCGCGTGCGCGGGCAAAACGGAATGCCAACGACTCGAATCAAATTGGCTGCGGAGGGCCTTCTTGGAACTCTTGAGACACACGTAGAGTGAAGTCGGGCTTGTCCCCCTACAGGGGGCTTTTGAGCGAAAAATTGGAAGTACTCAGAAAATGCTCCCAAAAAGCTCAAAAGTAGTCAACAAATCGTCCCTGGACTATTTGTTGTGCATTTTGGGGATATTTCCCCTGTAGAAGGACAGGCCCGACTTAAACGTAGAGCTCTCGTGGCGCCTCCTCGGGAGTCCCGGGGAACTCCTGGCCTCCTGGAGCCAGCTGGGGACCCTCGGAGGGCCCTTTGAGACCGATCTTGGAGGCCTGTGGGTCGCTCGTGAGACAAAACGAAATAAGCAATGCTCCAATCCTCGAGAAGTCCGACGACGATGATGCGATGTCGTCAGATGCATTGTGATGTTGGCAACGGCAAGACCCAAACGTCACGGCTCTGAACAAACTGACAAGAGTTCTTCTGGAACGCGACAGCCGTGGACCTGGAGAGGACTACGAGCCCATGGCAGCGATGCCAGCACGGCTTGAGACAGGAATCTCCGACAACAGGAAGCCTGCAGCGCAAAGGAAAGACGCGACTTCGCCTGCGTGAGTGGCCAGTTCCGAGGCGAGGGGGCTCGGGGCACAGGTTTGGACGCCCGAAATGGGCACCGAAAAAATGGGTGCAATGCCCAACGGCAAATGTTGTCCCAAACCGACAGCGGCGGCTGTTGGGCAGGCGGCCTCCTGTCTCGAATGGACACAGGCCGCGGCGGCGTGGACAGCGAGCCCTGTCCAAAATGAACAAGATCCGCTGTTGGGCATTGTACCCAGTCTTTCAGTACCCGTTTCGCGCGTGCAACACAGGGCCCCGGGAGGTGAGAAGAGCACGCCCCACGGCACGGCCACCCCAGGGGTCGCCAGAGACCACGAACGGGCCGCCCTGGTCGCTGCGGCGTGGCCTCCAGAGCTGCTGGGGCGGCGAGGGGAGGGGGAGGCCCACGAGGCCCCGAGGGGAGGCCAAAAGACGTCGAGGAGGAGGAGGAGGAGGAGGAGGAGGAGGAGGAGGAGGAGGAGGAGGAGGAGGGGGAGGGGGGAGGAGGAGGAGGAGGAGGAGGAGGAGGAGGAGGAAGAGGAGGAGGAGGAGGAGGAGGAGGAGGAGGAGGAGGAGGAGTGGGCCCGAAGCGGGAGGAGATCCGGCAGACGCAGGGTGCTTAGGGGTGTCTACCCGCCTTTATCGGGCCAAGGGCGCGCCCCCCAAAAACGCTTCGGCACTCCCGGGCGACTCCCCGTCACCACGGGTAACGAAGCTGGGAGAGCAAGAAATCGAAGAGCAAGTAGACAAGCAATGCTGCATAGGAGAATGCAGATGTTTCCACCGGCGCAGTGAGACAGGAGCGCAAACGACTGCAAATCGAAGTACGATGGATCCGAATGGTGACGACAACTCGATCAAAGCCAAAAAAAATCACTCACGGGGCGCTCCAAGCCCAGATATGTGCTCATCTCAGGGCTCTCCAGGCTCGAATTTGGATCGATATTCAAATCGAAGGTGCGATAACAGCTGATCATCTATGCAACGCAAACCGTGCGATGCGAAGGCCTTCAACATAACAATACCCGGTCATCCAGACAGCGTACAATGCGGCGAATATTACATCGCACATGGCATGGGCATTTTACTTTGTTTGTGTCGTACTCTGTGCTTGCGACCCCGCATGGAAGTAAAATGTGTCGTTCCAGATTCAATAAGATTGTTGGCGGGCGACCTGCCTGGGCGCGTCCATGCCCTAAGTGCCAAATCGTAGTAATTGACGCCATGTCCATGAACATGTAGAATGAGCAAAAGAAGATGCAATGCACAGGAAATCCCCACCAGCACACTGTATCATATCGTTTGTGTGTATATATATATGCATATATAACTCGTTTATATATATATATATTATGAAAAAAAAAAAAAGGAACCAGCGTCATCCATGCGACAATAAAACAGAGAACTCTTCATAGTGATAATATCACTGGCGCCCTCTGTGCGCCACTGGAAATTGAAATACTTGTTATCCCAGCGACGGTTGCCGCGCCGATCGAACCACCCAATCGTGCGCGTACTGTTCTGGTCAAGCCAATTGCAGTCACAATCGTGCCCGTCGATGTAGATTCACTTGTTCAAGTAGTGGAAGCAGCAGCGGTACGCGTCGTTCTGGTTGTGTTCGATCTTCTGGCGCCACCGCGCGCGCGCGGCGCAGGCGCGCTGCGCGACGGCTGCGCTGTGAATTCGAATGTGCAGCGTCGCTCGACGCGCCTCATCCCGCGGTCTCCGCCCCGGAGGTGCAGTCTGCCTCCGTGCGCCTGGTGCAGAGCCGCCGTCTCCAGTCCAGCGTATTGTTTAGTTGTCCGAGGGTCTTGTTTAGTTTTGGTAAGGTCCTGCTTCGTTGTCCTAGGGTCTCGTTTAGTTTTGCTGGGGTCCTGTTTAGTTGTCCTAGGGTCTCGTTCAGTTTCGGCAGGGTCCTGTTTAGTTGTCCTAGGGTCTCGTTTAGTTTTGGCAGGGTCCTGCTTAGTTGTCCTTGGGTCTCGTTGAGTTGTGGCTGGGTACTGTTTAGTTGTCCTAGGGTCTCGCTTACTTGTGCCAGGGTCACTGTATAGTTGTCCTAGGGTCTCGTTTAGTTTTGGCAGGGTTCTGTTTAGATTTCCTAGGGTCCCGTTTAGTTTTAGTAGGGTTCTGAGCGTTCTGTTTAGTTTACACATGGTCTCGTTTGGTTTTGGCAGGGTCCTGCTTATTTTCCTAGGGTCTTCTGTAGCTTTGCTAGGGTCCTGATTAGTTTTCCTAGGTCTCGTTTAGTTTTGGAAGGGTCATGTTTAGTTGTCCTAGGGTCTCGTTTAGTTGTCCTAGGTTCCTGTTTAGTTGTCCTAGGGTCTCGTTTAGTTTTGGTAGGGGCATGTTTACTTTTCCTAGGGTCCCGTTTCGTTTTGCTAGGGTGTTCCTAGGGTCGCGTTTAGTTTTGGTAGGGTCCTGTTTAGTTGTCCTAGGGTCTCGTTTAGTTTGGCAGGATCCTGTTTAGTTGTCCTAGGGTCTCGTTTAGTTTTGCTGGGGGTCTTGCTTAGTTGTCCTAGGATCTCGTTTAGATCTGCTAGGGTGCTGTGTCGTTTGGGCTCTCGTTTAATTGTCATAGGGTCTTGTCTAGTTTTCCTAGGGTCTCGTTTAGATTTCCGAGGGTCCTGTTTAATTTTCCAGGGGTCTCGCTTAATCTTCGGAAGGTGTTTTTTATGTGTCCCAGGTCTCGTTTAGTTTTGCTAGACTCCTCTTTAGTTGCACTAGGGTCTCGTTTAGTTTTGCGAGGAGCTTGTTTAGTTGTCCTAAGGTCTTGTTTAGTTGTCCTAGGGTCTTGTTTACTTTGGGGGGATCCTGTTTAGTTGTCCTAGAGTCTCGTTTAGTTTGCTAGGGTCTTGCTTAGTTGTCCTAGGATCTCGTTTAGACGTGGTAGGGTCATGTTTCGTTTGGGCTCTCGTTTAATTGTCATAGGGTCTTGTCTAGTTGTCCTAGGGTCTCGTTTAGTTTCCCGAGGGTCCTGTTCAATGTTCCAGGGGTCTCGTTTAATTTTGGGAAGGTCTTTTTTAGTTGTCCCAGGGTCTCGTTTAGTTTTGCTAGGGTCCTGTTTAGTTGCCCTAGGTCCCGTTCAGTTTTGCGAGGGTCTTGTTTAGTTGTTTCTAAGGTCTCGTTTAGTTGCCCGAGGGTCTCGTTTAGTATTGGTAGGGACATGTTTACTTGTTCTAGGGTCTCGTTGAGTTTTGCAAGGGTGTTCCTAGGGTCTCGTTTAGTTTTGGCAGGGTCCAGTTTAGTGTTCCGAGGGTCTCGTTTAGTTTGGCAAGGTCCTTAGTTGTCCTAGGGTCTCGTTTAGTTTTGCTAGGGTCTTGCTGAGTTGTCCTAGGATCTCGTTTAGATGTGCTAGAGTCATGTTTCGTTTGGGGTCTCGTTTAATTGTCGTAGGGTCTTGTCTAGTTTTCCGCGGGTCTCGTTTAGTTTCCCGAGGGTCCTGTTCAGTTTTCCTGGGGTCTTGTTTAATGTTGGGAGGGTTTTTTAAGTTGCCCACGGTCTCGTGTAGTTTTGCTAGGGTCCTCTTTAGTTGTCCTAGGGACTCGTTTAGTTTTGCGAGGGTCTTGTTTAGTTTCCTCAGGTCTGGTTTAGTTTTGGTAGGGTCATGTTTAGTTGTGCTAGTGTATCGTTTAGTATTGGCAGGGTCCTGTTTAGTTGTTCTAAGGTCTCGTTTAGTTCTGGTAGGTCTTGTTTAGTTTTCCGAGAGTCTCGTGTACTTTTGCTACAGTCCTGATTAGTGATCCTTGGGTCTTGCTTGGTTTTCCGAGGGTCTTGTTTAGTTGTTCCTGAGGTCTCGTTTGGTTGTGGTAGGGTTGTGTTTACTTTTCCTAGAGTATCGTTTAGTATTGCTAGGGTCCTGTTTAGTTTCACTACGGTCTCGTTGGGTTTTGGTAGGGTCCTCTTTAGTTTTCCGAGGTTCTCATTTAGTTGTGGTAGGGTCCTGTTTAATGTTCCTGGGGTCTCGTTTAGTTGTCCTAGGGTCTTGTATAGTTGTCGCAGGGTCTTGTTTAGTTTTGCGAGGGTCCTGTTTAGTTTTCCCAGGGTCTCGTCTAGTTTTCCTCAGCAGCATCGCCAGCGTCGTCCTCACCATCGTCGTCATTTCCTAAGTTCTCATATGAACTGGGAACTGGCGGTAAACCGTCAACCAAGTTACCGCCGGGCACCTCATAGAGCTCTCTTCTTACACAGCGCTCCTCCGAACACGTGAAGGAAGCTTCTGAAGCGAGAGCCAAACTGGCACCGGCGGTGAACCGTCAACCTGGTCTCCGCCGGGAACCTCGTAGAGCTCTTTTCACGCGTCAGAGTGCTAAGAGTCGAAGGAGAGAGCTTCTCGAAGCATTTCTCGAAAAATTGAATCTTCAATTTTTTCATGTCGATTGAAAGTTGGTTGCGCCAAGTGTTTTGATAGTAAAAGTGCGCCTTCAGCGCTCA